ACCTTCTTCCTTCCCTAACTCATTGTTGCCAATCCTCCAACCTGCCTTTGGGTCAGTTTGAAGGGAATTCCAACGAAGGAATGGGCCAGAGAGGCTGAAGATTTGATTTCTGCTCCTTTCCCTAGAAGTCTTTCTCCACTAAAGAAACTTTTCCCCAGAGACGTACTGAGCTGACAGAGGCCCTGGGTGAAAACCTGTGCGCTTTAGCTCGAGCTTTCCAGGCAGGACTCACTGTGGGATTCTGTGCTATGTGCATTCATTTGGTTGGATGCCTTGTAGCTGTTTTTCTCCATAATGCTTTATTTGGAACTTTCCCTAATGTATAAATTTTGTGGCACATTTGCATAAACACAGTCTTACATTTATGTTTATATCACACATATTTTCTCAAGATATCTTTTTTGGTGCCATAAATCAGATTTCTGCCTTAGTTTATGTTATATTACTAATGAAGAGTCCAAGTGGATCTCCTAATTCCCAAGTCCACAAAACTAGCCCACTGAGGCCACACACCATATATTCAGGTTCTTCTGAGAGCCCGCCACAGAGAGCCTCATTTGAGTGCCCCTGTCAATTTCTAATGTTGTATAGATTTGACCCCAGGACTCATGCACTGTGTCTCTTATGGAATCCATCAGTCTGGAGAGAAGAGCTTGAGGGTGGCAAGCCACAGGATTCCATTACTCTCCTGGCCTAAGGCCCAGATCACTGTTTGATCACAAGTCATCTTTTCCCGTTTCACCTAGTTCCTGCCAGGTTCTTGGGCATGGAAAGACCCCTTACCATGCATCATCTACACAGTAGAATTCTCAAATGATTGCATTCCAAGAAAAGGTCAGAAGGACCCCCATCATGTACAAGCAAGAGCCCTCTAACCTCAAGGGTAGACATAATCAAAGGCCACCTGCCCCTGCAATAAGGTTCTTGCCCTTGGTGCATTTCTACCCCAGTGGCATAAGAGAGAAGTCTTGAGCTCCCCCTAGAGGTTATTGTTTCTACATCAAGTATTCCTTGGGAGAATGCAGTTATGTAGGGGCTAGATCTATTAGTAGTACACATTACATGCAGCTCAGAACTGAATATCCGAGTATACTGTGATTAAAAATGAATTATGAATTTCATGATCCATGCAATACTTAGAATAACAATTGTCAAGGGTCTCTCAAGTAAATACTATTAGAATCTCACTCTTGAATAACACAACTCTATGCCATTAGAAATTGAAAATAAAGTAATATGGATGACTGTCTAATAAAGGGCAATATTGCACAATTCATCTCCTACTGGTTAGGCTACATGTAAACTCTGTGTGGCTGTCTTTATTCTGACACCATTCTGAGTTGAAGCTGAATGAAAACAGGCAGAAGTAGCCTATTGCCAGTGGTCATCACAATGCCAAAACTTAGCACTGTGTACTCAGTATAACTACAGAAAGAAATTGTGGCTGATCCTGTTATTTTTATTGGATCTCTACTAAGCAATAGTCTCTATGGATAGTCCAGCTATAACATCATCCAATGTGAGTCCAGAAATCAGAACTGAAGTCACAGTCCAACTATGCGCTAGCTGGCTGACCTCAGGAAAGTTTCTTAATGTCTCTGAACCAGAAATTCCTAAATGATGATGCAGAGCTAATAATAACGCCTCTATGACCCACGAGACGACCATGTAACACTTGCAAGATCACATAGTGCTGAAAATCATGGACCATTTGTGCTCAACACAGAATGGGCCTTTTCCACTGAGGGCCAATTACAGATATATAAATTTGAAAATTTGTATGAGGCTTGAGGGGAGGGGTCAGAGTATAGAATGTGGTTTCCTTCACTTAGCTTGAGTTGCTTTTATCAGGAAAAAAATACTATGCGTACCCATAGGTAGATAGGTGAAAATTAAATGTGAGATATGACTGCTTGATAGAAAAATAAAAACCAAACATTATCTGTAAATCTGTTTCTTTTTCTCAGATCTCTAAATGTGCACCTAACACAGATCAGCTGATTAACTAATTTTTAAAAATAAACTAATTTGTTATTTCTCTCTACTTCTCTTTCCAGTTGCCAGAGTTGGAAAAACTGCTTCTGAAAGAGAGCCCTCTTGTTTAAAAGAGACACAAAAGCATCTCATACTAACTAAGTCTAGGTGGGATCAAACTATTTTTTTGAGTCCTGGGATTGAAAAGGGAAAAACAAACAAACCAACAACAATAACAAAAAAACAAAGCAGGCCTTCAGAGGGAGGGAGGGAGGAAAGGAGAGGGGGGAGTTCCCAGTAAGACATGTGTCTTCACATTACTGGAGAGAAGGGTGAATCTTCAGATATGAGGTCATAAAAATGTCCTGGGTAAGATGGGAACTCAGAACTGCCTTAGCGAATCCTATATGGGCCTTTATCAAATTCATCCACGTGCACATAGAGATCCCGGATCAGCCCAGCCTCCAAAATAAACAGATGCTAGTCTGGATATTCCATTTCCTGGAGGAGCCTCCTGGGGTGGTGGCGGTAATGGTGGTAGTGGTGGAGGTGGTGGTGGTGGTGAAGGTGGTGATGGTGAAGATGGTGGTGAAGGTGGTGGAGGTGATGGTGGAGGTGATGGTGGAGGTGGAGGTGATGGTGGATGTGGAGGAGGTGGCGGGGGGGGGTAGAGGCAGTGGCAGTGGTGGTTAGAATGATCTACTCAGGAGAGCACAAAGCATGGGAGTTCATGGACACTGGGAAATGTTTAGTGCAGATCTCTGTTAGGGCTGGAGACCTACATCTTCCAACAGTACACTAGAAGGGCTCAAGGTGGGAAAGAAGCAATGGGGGTGGCAGGTATAGGTAAAAGGCACCTTCCCAGAAATGAAAGAGGACCAGGTGGTGCTAGGAGAGGCGTGCGAACCATGAAGGTTTTGATGACTTTTTATGGCAAGTATCACAGCATATTGCTATGCTGATAGAAGTGATCCAGGGAGGAAAGTGCGATGGAGGAAGCAGGAGAGAGGGGAGTTAACCACAGGAAAATTAGCTGCAGGGGAAGAGCTCCAGTTCTCACTTGGAAGGCTTGGCCGTATGTAAAAGAGGACCAAGTCTGGTCATTTTATCAGGAGGGTAGGTAGAGTTGGTCAGTATAGTAGGCAAAGGAGCTGAGAGGGTAGGCAACTTCTCTTAAGGCTGTTTCTTTTGTCCCGCAGGGAATTAAGAAAGATGTTCATTTTTATCACAGACACACACTGGCATGGCTCGGGTCTAGGCAACAGAAGGAATGCAAGAATTCATAAGATGGGGAAGAACACCAGGAAATGCTTTGTTTGGGGCATGCCATGGCTATTGCATTATTAACTCCCAGCAGCTGCACTTACCTGCACAGAAACAAGCCAACCAAAATCCCTGCAGACATAAGGAAAGTGATCTGCCCCCCACCACCACCACCAAGGAGGCATTGTTACTTGATAACTGTCAGGTCAGGGAGGATAATTATGTATTTAGGATGTTCCCACTGGTAGATTTCCCATGCTTTTGTGGATGGTGCCAAACTCATGCACATATGAGCAGTGTTAACTGAACTTTGATATCTCTATCTCTATTTCTATCTCTATCTCTATCATAGACCTAGCTCTCTAGGCTCAGACCTTAGTATGATAGATAGATAGATACATACATACATACATGATATATATAAATAGTACATACATATATACACATATATACATGATATATATATATATATATATATATATATATATATATATATACATACATGACAAAAGAAGACATGAAATTGGGAGGGAGGCATAGTCAGGGCATGGGGGGAGGAGTGAGAGCAAAAAAAAGATAGGTGGTAGATACAATCATATTATCATATTTCATTGGTTTTATGTATGAAAATTTTAAGAATAAAGAAACATTATATAAACATCTGCTGAGAAGGAAGACTAGAAGGCCTTGCTGGAGGTTGTGGAAAGGTGAAACAGATTATGGAAGCATCATCTCATAGATAGGGCAGAGAGAATTGTGCTGGGAAATGGGATAGGATTGCCTGGCTGCACTGATGTACCACTTGAGGTCTGTTATCATAAATTTCAAGTGAGGCCAGTCAGTGACAGTTGAGTGTTTTCCAGCAGCCACTTTTAGCTGCTTAGGAGCTTGGAAGGAAGAGGTGGGAAGCTGGAATTAAACAAGGCTAAACATGCTTATCAAGGGCAAGCAAAATAATGGTGTTGAGAGAACACACAAGAAGAGGACAATGTGTGCAAGGAGTGCTTATGGGAATACATACTCTCAGTGCAAACGTGGAGAGGGAGGGAATGGAGGACATGTGGTGTGGTGAAGTGTTGGCACAGCAATAGGACTTGGGGAGCATAAGTGGACTAAGTAAGAGCACCAGAGAAAGCCTGTTGACAGGAAGTCAGAATGTAGGAAGCAGGGAAGTAAGGTTTGCTAACGGAGAAGTTCCAGGTGATGTGACTTCAGCAATGGGAAGCTGAAATTAGTTGTTTAAGACAAGAAGAAGTCTTCATTTGTCAAGGAGATTAGAGTCCAGAGTGTTTGAAGGCTCTCTATGTGTATCCAAATGGTTAAGAAAGAGCTGAGAAAGTTCTAACTGAAAATAAAGAGTGATGATCCTGGGGAAAACGTCTTCAGTGACAGATTGTGTGTAGAGGGTGTGGTTAGAAGGTGAGAGTTGACTCTGACAAGAACACTGTGGCAGCCATGAGAATGTCCTTTTCAGACCCTTAACTACTGGGAATGCAATTCATTGACAGCACCAGATGCTGTGCCTAGAAATCCATCATTCTGATAGCCACACCCTTACCAGCTGGACTGAGTACTGCAAGGATCCTAAGGCAGATACCATAGTGGAAGTTGTGGGGCTCTCCTGTTTCACCGCTTTGCCTTGAGGATGCCTCAAGAGTTTTTTCCAAAAGTTTCTTAGACACTCACTAATACCTATGGCCTTTTTTCTTTACAACCATTGTTCCTTTTACAGAGTTGGACCCACACAATGAGCAGAAAAATACCTGTATACCTTCTTCAGTCTCTTCTCCTATTTTATTTTTTTGGCCTTCATCTTCTTGTCTTGACTTGGTGTCAGCTTCTTAGATGTCTTGAACTAGCACAAAGAGTAAATGGAGAGTGACATGTGAGAATTTCTGGTCACTTTGGGGAGGAGGAAGGAACAAAGTAGACTAAAAGTTGCATGGGAGAATAAGGACAACATCTGTGCTCTCATCTTGTGTGTGCAAGGTTGCTATGATCTAAATGTCTGTGCCTTCTTCAGTTTCATATGATGAAATTGAGCCTCCAATGTGATGATATTAAGAGGTGGGCCTTCGGGGGTCATTAGATTGGATGGGATTAATGTCCTTATGAAAAGGCCCAAGGAACTGGGGAGACGGCTCAGTTTGTAAAGCAATTGCTTCATAAGTAAGGGGGCTTAAATTTGATCCCCAGAACTCATGCAAAAAGCAGAATTGTGAAGGTGCACCCTTGTAATCCCAATAATACTGTGAGATGGGAGGTGGATTAAGGCACCTATTCCCTGGGCTCTATGGTCAACTTGCCTAGCCTCCATGATGAAGCTCCAGCCCAATGAGATGTATGAAGAATGACACACAACACACGGAGGTTGCGCTTTGACTTGCACACACACAGACACAGATACAGACACAGACACACACACACACACACACACACACACACACACACAGAGAGAGAGAGAGAGAGAGAGAGAGAG